ACTTTAGACTCACCACTTGACCACTTGCCGACCTTCTAGAAGGACTAAAGCTGGGCTTCTGGACTCTACTTGGACTCTTACCCTACAGGTCTACAGTTCGAATCTTCCTACAGCCTACAACCTACGGTGACCTACTTACCACTGGCTATCGTGCAGGTCACGGGTTCAACTCCAGGGAACTGTACAGATACTGTACACAGGTAAGCTGAGGTCAAGGGATCGACCCCTGGGATCTGCATCGGCTACTGCCAAAGGTGAAAACTGTTTCATAATGGCCAGATCGGAGTTGATTTATGTGTCGGTTTCTTCCTACTTACATGATGGGAGTTCGTAGCCAAGTGCTATAAACACATGAGGGGATTGCGTGGAGAGGAGCGCTGCTGCTGATACGAGGATTGCGTGATCATCGAAGTCTTATTGCGTATTGAGGATTGAAGATAGTGTGTTTCCTCTTCCAATCAGCAATCACAATGGCAATCGTAATCGTAGGATGGCACTTTTTTGCGGGTGCTCTCGCTTGCCTGTTTTTCTGTGCGACTGGTCTGCTCTGGCCTCTCTCATGGAAGCCGGTCCTTTTCCCGGATTTCGGCTCTGTCTGCCATGCCACTGATCAAGAGCATGTAGTTCTGAAGGCAGTGATGGATTCCTGGATACCGTACCTAGTCGGAATGCATGTAGTAGTATTTGTCTCTTTCATGACAGGATTGGTGATTGGAAGTAGGTTTAGAATATGTAGCGTGGTGTTCTTTGCGGCTAATCGACAATGAGATGTGAAGGGTGGGGAATGATGTTTTGGGTCCGTAAACAAAGGATTACTCGTTAAAACTCTTAATTAGTGCCAAATCGAATATTGATGGGATTGTACTCGTGCATGATTAATGCCAGTTTGTTCTCCTTCCTGCCTCCTCGAGCTGTTTGTACCATGGACCCTGTGGGATTGTTTGCCTATTGCTTTCCCTGTTGAACGGACGTCGTACGGAATGTCTATTTGCTCATTGACCCGGCCTTGTGTTCATCTTATTTCACTTATGACTGTCCTTATTATCACACTATGTATGGATTGTTCTGTGCGAAGTTGATGCAACCTATGCTTGGGGCAATCGTGTATGCGTACCTTGTTACACCGCTCGCCGCATTTGTGGGGTTCTGTTTGGCTCGACACACACACACACAAACACACACACACATGCTCATTCCGTCCTTCCCTCCCTCCACAGCAAATTGTTAGCACTATCACTGCCATCCCTGCCAGACACTCATTGTGACCATTTTTCCATAACGATTATCAACATCAAAACCATTGCCACCATCATCAACACATCATCACCAACGTGACAACCACCATTATCACCATTTTAAAATCATGAGCGGCAGCAACTCATCATCGTTCTGAGCCAAAGATAAATGGAGGCTACTTCTGACATGGCGGGGTATGAAAAGGCCGTTCCTGTCTGACCACATGTTACTTGAGTGCATTGAGGCATTTCTCTGTCAGGGCATAGCTCCCCATGCTTTCTGATTCATATCGTGTTCACAGACTGTTCTCAGCCGAAGCCGGGCAATGGCCCCGGTATCTCAAATAATCTCAAATGTTCTCAATGATCTGTACAATTCGAAATGGGACGCTGGGCCCGGTTCCCAGCACATGCTGCTCCCCACGAATAGACTGGGGCATTTGTTTTCAAAAAAAAAAAAGGGCATTCTCTCAACTTCATGCATTCTTTGTTTTCGTTCATTCTGAGCTTCTCACCTCTGATAATTTCTTCATGTGGATATCATTTTTGGATCAGTCCATCAGGTATGGCAGGAGCAGGAGTTTACCTGGTGGAGCTCATCTGGAGGCACCTTTCCTGCCAGCGGCAGGTCCACGATACCTTGGATCCTCTCGGCGCTTTCCAGGTACGGCTTTGCCTGCACGAACATGGCAGACGAAAAAGAAAAAAAATATTGGGGCACTCATCACAAAGCGCAGGCTTCACCCCATTCCTTTTCTCTACTATCCCATCCAATTCCACCTGAGAACACGTACAAGCAAGCCCGGAACGACCAAGACCTGAACACGTACAAGCAAGCCCAGAATGACCAAGACCTGCATTGACCCATTAAACCACCAGTACTGGGATCCTTCCTCCAAAGCTTAAAACTGTATATGCGGAGGCTGCACTTTCGATGTACTGGCTTGCCCGCAGCTGGTTTGATACGTACTCAATGGGAAAAGTTTCTTCAACAGAAAATCCGTTGTCAAGTACTGACGGTCTTAGAGAAGCCCCAGAGAGAGGAAGAGTTTGAGAACCACCCCGCAGAGGCACATGGACCACTAGTGCTGCACTTCCAACTTTTTCTTGATGCTGCTGTGGCACCTGAAAATATTCCCAGCAGTATTCTCCTTCAAAAAGACTGTTTGGCGATATGCTCAGAGTCTGGTTCAGATTGCCTCCTTAAATGACTGCGAGGTGGCTGAAGAGCGGAGGCTGAGTGGGCCACAGTGGTTGTCAGTTCTAATACATGGAGCACTAGTGCTGAGGCATCATGAAGCCTATGCTGTGCGCCCACCAAGATGAACACATTCTGTGAGATCAGATAATTTCTGGGCCTCAAGAGGTCACAGCAATAACGCCCTCTGCAAGACCATTTACTCTGCGTGCATCCATAGGTCACCCACCGCAATAGGAAGCGGACATCAAAATTTCACTCCGTCTGAAGCCATTGTTCAAAAATCAAAATCAACTTTTGACAATCGATGCCCATGTGAGGTGCAGACACATTGCAAATAGGCCCAAAGATCGATGCATTCTTTGCAATGCTTCAGGCCTCACTCCACTGCACAATTTCTACATGTACCTGGAGCTCGTGATTGTCCCGGTACATACAAAATGTTTGCACAGCCCAAATGTACCTGGTCCGCGGTCTGGCCCAGATACATACATGTAGAGTGCTGGGAAGTGGACCTAGGATCTCAGTTGAAACTGTTTGCGAAGTCATGTATACCAGTCATTACTGTCAAAGCCTGCGGTCATGCACTGCGCAATGAACTCAGTTGTTCAGGATTTCGTGTCCACATTGACTCCACAATGAAATGGAAAATTGCCACATTAAAAAAGGGGTTGAAGCTCCAAAGGTGTATTTTGAAGTTGACCGGGATGTAAGGAAAATAAGCAACAGCGAGATGACAAATTCCAGATTACATCATCACATTGAAAGCCAGATAGTCACACTGTGCACAGAGAGCAGCATTGCACCAATAATACACCAATGGAGGTTCGTAGTACTGAAAACCAATGTCAAGGCGAGCTTCTCTCTCCGCCACAACACAAGAGTCCAGTCCCTTCACACTCCTACTTGGCGCTCAGCGCCCAGCCTACTCCTACACAGCTACGATCGGCCTACTAATAGACAATGCAACTGTTGACATCAGCGGCAACCCGAAGTACTTGAAGATGTTGCCCTTATGCAGACCATTGCCAATACAAGGTATGTGCCCTCACATCATCATCATCATCATCCTTCGCCCTTCCCTGACTTATCACCCACGTGTGTCCTCCCTTACACCTGAAGACCACCCCTGCGCCTCACTGTACATCCAAGCCCAGCCCGCTACGAAGGCTGGCTATGGCGCTGCCCTCAGCAGCGCCCTGCTTCACCACACGACCGCACGTGCGCAGCCTCTTGCTCCCAATGCCAGCAGCCAGCCCGCGAGCTGTCGCTCCAGCAGCGCTGCCGCCAGCCAGCAAGTGACCGAATGAGGCTGCCTGGCGAGAGCTCTTTCCTTTATGGAAAGAGCTGGCCTGCTCGTGCAGCCTGGCTGCACTGGCCTGGGCCCAGAAGCTTCCGGAAGGCCCCAGGATGCTGCCTTTGCCCTGCAGCTACTGGGCCTCGTTCGGTTGGGCCTCCCAACTGTCAGTATATGAGGCTGCGATTCGCGCCCAGGGCCTGCATTCTTTGGAAAGGGCCGGTAAGCCGTGGAAATGTCTTTGTTGCTCGGCCTGTGTTTCTCTCAACCAACTGGCGCGTCGCAACTGCCTGTACCCCAAATATGAAATTGACAGTCAAAGGCCTCTTGTGAAATGTTAGGCCCGCCTTCACTTAGGGCGGGCACCACTGTAACCGGGGCCCCTTAGGCCTGCCGAAGACGCAGATCCTCGCATTCCCTCCTCCTTTACTTCGTTAGTCCTCTGAGCACTCTTATTCTGCAGGCATCTTCCCTTTCAGTTCTCTTTCATAGCCTGCAATCACTTGAGGTGCTGTTCTCAGGAGTTCTTCTCGTGTGAACCAGCGATCTTCCTTGGGATCGAGATGATGTCTGAAGCTCACACGATACTGCATTCTCGGTTTAGGAGGGCGCCCTCTGCCTGATGGTCGAGGAACAGGCATTACTCGATGCTCCACGATCTGGTCGATGTCCACCTCACCATCCATGGTTGGGGGCAGCATTGATCTCCTTGAGGGAAACTTGTCAGTGGCAGCGAAAGGTGCCAACTTAGAGGCATGGAACACAGGGTAAGTCCGTAAGTGTGCAGGAATACGAATCACGTATGAAGGCCCATCCGGTTGATCTCCTACAATGTCCAAGATCTCCCAGGGCCCAAAATACTGTGGCATCAGTTTTCTTGATATCCCCATCTCCTGACCTAGTTCAGATGACTTTACCCAAACTCTATCACCTACCTGAAAGTTAGAGGGTCGTCTATGTTTATTCTCAGATGCGATCATAGCATCCTGAGACTTTCTAATGTGTTCAACGGCCTGCTGCTGCATCTGTTCATATTTTGACAGCAAAATCTATGCTGCCAGGTGCTGCAGTGGGTTGTCTTTCTGGTAGCAGAAAGTCAAGTGCAATTCTGGGCTTCTAACCAAGATGTAACTGGTTGGGAGTCATACCGGTAGTATTGTGCACAGCATTGTTGTACAGGCTCGCGACGAGAGGTAACTTCTCGTCCCAGTCATCCTGACTTGGCTTACTATAATGCCGAAGCAGGTGCTGTAATACCCGGTTCATCTGTTCTGCCTTGCCATTTGACTCAGGGTGATTCCCTGAGGTCATTTGGAGTTTTGTGCCCATCTGTTCAGCGGTTGACTGCCACAGTTCACTTGTGAATCTCACATCCCTATCACTAACGATAGACGTAGGCAAACCGAAATCACGTACCCAATTATCCATAAACAGTTTATGACGTAGTCAGTTTTAGCTGTTTTTGGCATAGCGATCAGTCTTGCATACTCAGTAAAGCAGTCCACTATTACGAAGATGTGCCTTTTGCCGGACTTACTGGTCACAAGAGTATCCATGAAGTCCATAGACACACTCTGACCAGGTCCTTCAGGAATGGGCAAGGGCTTGATTAGCCCAAGCGGTGCCTGAGTCCTGGCAAGTTTCAACGTAGCGTTTTGCATCTAGCATCATAGAGGGCCACCAGAATCTCTGTACTAAATTCGCTGATGTCTTTTTGTATCCAAAATGACCGGTTGCATCATGGCATTCTCCTAAAAATAAACTACGCAACGACTCACTACTGGGAACACAACCTTTTATTCCCTGCCTTCTCAAGAAACAGCAAACCGTCTACCGTCGTAAATTTGTCCAAAGTCTTTTTGTCCTTTGCTTGGAATCTACGGATGATCTCAGACATAACTGGATCATGCTGATAGGCTTCCACCAATGATCGAGTTAGATCGCTAAATATGCCAAATTTCGTAACTAACGCGCCCAGATAATCTGCCCGGCGAGATAACGCATCAGCCACTTTGTTGTACTCTCCCTTGATTGGATCAAGTTGATAGTCATACATGTCTATCACTTGTATCCATCTCTCGAGTTCATCAGAGAGCACGGGCTGTGTATTGATCCGGCGCAAGGTTTCATGGTCAGATTTCACATACAAGAATCTGCCTAGGAGATAATGTCTCCAATGAACCAGCGCTCTATACAGGGCATAGAGCTCACGCTCATAAGTGGACTTAGCTAGTTTTTGAGATGGCATCTTTTTGCTCATATACTCGATAGGTCTCAACTTGGGCCCCTCCTTTTGCGCAAGGACAGCGCCAATGCCATATTGGCTGGCATCTGTAGTTACAACAAATGGCTTATCAGGATGAGGAAGTTTAAGAACCTCATAGTGTGTCAGAGCATACTTCAGTTTCCTGAAGGCCGCCTCACACTCTTCAGTCCACTCCCAAGGGGTGTCCAGTCGAGTTAGATCCGTCAACGGGGAAGCTATAGTACTATAGTTATTCACAAACGGACGATAGTAGCCCATCATCCCCAAAAACGATTTGACCTCAGTAACAGTCTGAGGTCTGGGCCAGTCACGTATGCTGGCCACCTTGGCATCATCTGGCCTCAATCCATCTGCTGAGATTTCATGACCCAAGTACAAGATCTTGGTGCGACCAAACTCGCATTTCTCCAAGTTAACCTTGTACTGGTGCTGTCTTAGGAGACCTAACACTGTTTTCAAGTGCTCAGCATGCTCCTCTACAGTCCTACTAAAGATGAGAATATCGTCGAGGTACACGATGATAAACTTATCTAAGTAAACATGAAAAATCATGTTCATCACGTGCTGGAACGTACCAGGTGCATTGCATAGTCCAAAGGGCATCACCACAAACTCGTACAGACCGTACCTGGTCTGAAATGCGGTTTTGTGCTGATCCTTAGGCCTAATGGCAATTTGATGGTATCCGAACTTCAAATCTATCTTGGTGAAGTACCGGCATCCCTGCACTCTATCCAAGAGGTCGTCGATGCGGGGTAGGGGCTTCGCGTTCTTAACAGTGATGGCATTGAGGCCCCTATAATCAATGCACATCCTCAAGGTACCTCCCTTCTTCGGTACGAATAAGATTGGAGCGCTGTAAGGGGAGGCGCTATGCCGAATCCATCCCTTCTCTGTGAGCTCCTTGAGCTGGCG